CAATGAACTTTACTAAAAGTTGGTCTGTTTGCTGCTACTTCAACTTCTGAGATCCTTAAGCGAGGAGTAGAGTAAAACAGACTAATTTGCAGTAGTGACAGTAGCACCAGCACTAGCAGTGGTAGAGCAAAACCGAGTACAGCAATAGTATAGCAGAGGGCTGCGAGACAAGGAAGAGAAAAAGGAAAGAGAAAAAAAACAGCTCTGTTCCTTCCATCATACGCACGCAACTACGCACGGACGCACGAAGCGCGTTAGAGGCGTGTGTATGCCTATTGAGGCGAGAAAGGGGATGGTGGCGTAAGTCTCTCTCCTTCTTTCTCCCTCCCATTTCCAGGAGTGAGTCAGACACGAGAGGGAAAAAGAGACGGATAGGGGTGGGATGGTTTTTTGGGTGATGGTTAGAAAGAGGGGCAAGCGTAGCAAGTCGCACTCGGACTATACGTCGACTAAATGAGTTGCTACCGCCCCCAGAGAGGAGTTGAAGCTAAAGAGAGCGAACTCACCGATCGGAGTCGAAGTCACAGGAAGCTGAGGGTTGATGGATGTAGAAGGCTTAGGAGAGGCAGCAGAAGTCATGCTGGTGTTATGTGTCGACGAGATAGGTGTCCCGAGATTGAGAGCGCTGGGAGATACGGGCGATCGGTTGTCCCCGTTACTGTTGGCGATGGAGCTAGTGTTTGGGGTCGAAGCCCTATTCCGCTGATGAAATCAAAAGCTCAAGTGAGGAAAATCCCTTCAATTCCCATAAGACACAACAAGCGTGTGAAATTTCCTGGACAGAGCCGTAGCGGTGCGTGTGTGTGCGCACCTCTCCATAGATGGCCTTCATCAATATTAATTCCATCACTGCCGTAGCCGCCATTCAGTTGCAAGCACACACTTCATCAATTCTACTTCTATTAGTTGGAGATCTCGCACTACAAAATCGCCGGATTTAATTGACCTGCCTTGAACCTTGACGAACTAGTCAGGAGGCTATTGCCTCACACAAAGAATTATCAGGTGGTAGAGCGACTTATCCGTTGAGAACGAAACAGGCTGACAGACGGTTGAACAGTAAATGAGAGGATGTGAGTCAGCAACACTGGGTCATAGTGAGTTGAGAGGGGGAGGGGGTTGGCAACTATATTTTATGGATGAGAGGCCTAGGCCTAACTAACCTCAAGTTTCGTGTCGTTACTACAGCTGGTGCTGCCCCCACCGTTTTCACGCGGACTGTGCCCCAATGCAGCTGCCGTACCGTTCACCACGACGTCCTAAGGGGGAAGGAAACGCAAACAAAGGCGAGTTAGGTGAGAACATAACGAAAAACACGCATGTACACGCAAACAGACAATCATGCCATCGAAACTCCATTCCGGGGTGAACAATTAGTCCGTTATTCACTAGTAATCAAGTTCCTTGAGTTCGACGATCACGAAGGCATTGCTATTTCCATGCAGAAGTAACGATTTACAAAGGCGCCGTGTAGCACGGCAGTGGCAAAGGATTAAAAAATCCATAAATTTGGAATGAGGAAAGAGGCAAGCCCTAGTCAAAGTCCCGCCTAATGCCATAAACAGCCTTTCACTATTGTGTTGCCTCCGTTACTATTGTTGCTGATGTTGATGGAGGATGGTCGCCTAGATTAAAGCCACACGAGGCAGCATGTGCAAGTGGTAATCACACGGGTGACAGATCACATTTGTTGTCTAAAATAATGTCACATACATATACAAACGTTGAGAGTATGAGTTACTGCGTGCACTAATCATGGCAACGCTGGAGCTTCAGGTGTATTGTGCGTGTGAGACACTAAATCCTTGACAGTAAGATCTGGAAACGAAAATTTTGAATGGTTTTTAATGCCCTCCCATGATGAAAGTAGCCACTTACGCGCACATACAAACACACGCAAAAGACCTCAGAGTGTTGCTGCTGCCAGCATGCTGCGACTTCAAGTGGAAATGAGATAAACAGGTGAGTGTGTACGACAATAACTATTTTCATACATACACAAAGACACGAAAGTGAAGTGTAGACTGGAAACACAGACAACAGAACAGAGGTGGTTGTTTTGTTGGACGCATCACAGGTGTGGGTGGAGCGGGGAGAGGGGTAGGGTAAGGGAATAGTGAAAGCAAAAAACGAGCTTACTCGTTTGACATTGTGGTTGATGTGATTGGCACCATTTAGGAGTTCTGAATCACTCTTAGCTTCTTCGTTTTGCTAAAAAAGGGAGGGCGATAACCTTCCATTTAAAAGGAGAGAGGACTCTTCGTTCGCTACGTGCGTGCAAGTGTAGCGTAACTAATGGTGCATACAACTTCGGTTTGATGTCAGAAAATAAGACAAAAAGAGTAAAAGCTAGTAATGAAGGACACAAAAAGAACACTTTAGCTTGGATAACACCAAAAAGGGGGAGACTAGAGCATGGTTGATGGAAAGATCTAGAAGACACGCAGTAGATGAAACTCAACACATTGTAAGCACGTGAAGGAAGAATCTAACTTCAGAGGTCAGAGTTGGTTAGTTAGTTCCTATTGGGGCGCGAATCGTATGCAACGCTAACTAGGTAATAAAGTTTCTCGGTGATCTATCGTGTGCACGCAAACAAGCATGCAGCCATACAGACAAAGTGTACATTTGCATTTTGTGAAGGATGGTGGCTGGAGGTGGCGGGTAGGAGGAATGGTATCAACAGCGGAGGCGCACACACAGATATGCGTGCTGTATTTGGTCGCTAATTTTGTGCGGTTCTAGCCCCACCATTTTTTTCTCCTCCATTATCCCTTGGCTGCATTCGTGTACGAGTGTACGTACATCAAAGTTTACCTTTAAGTCGCCCACACACTCACACACAAAAACTAAATAATCACCCACATCTGGTGAGGATGCAAAAGCAAGGTTTTGTGTTAGCCTCATGAACACAAGCACAGCAATAAACGGGCTAACCATTCTGATAGGC